ATAACATGCTAGGACTCCATGTACTTAGCTGCCTGTGGGTGGCGGTCTACATCATCTGGCAATAGTATAAGGGCTGATATACAGCTTAGAGTGAGGAGCGCAGCGTGATCACGTTGGTCTCGTAGCGTAGCTCGAGGTGTGTATGAATAAAACGCAAAATAATAAACACGTCCTTTTGCTCAATAACCTTGTTGTTGTACAAAAGAACAACAATTTCTGTTTTATACTAGACAGAAATTTCCATCTAACTGAATAATGTAGACTAATAAGAGGGCGGAGACATTACTGTATCGCTGATATTATTTGTGTGAGGCAACCACCACTGATGACGTCACAAGTCAGGTAGCCAGCCCATGTTTCTGTAACACTCGTTACATCCTGCAGTATTTAATTATCACTATATTAATACTTTTAAATACTTAACATTTCACTTTTTAAATAGATTAAAGTTGAAGCAGATTGTCATAAGCAAGGATGGTGTGCTGAATAAAGATGATTTATTAAGTTGATGGAGCCTTTAGCTGATCCCTTCCTGTGATTGGCTGTTGTGTGAATGTCAACAAAGAGTTTCTACCAATGATATGCTATTTATTATGCACCCCATACCATCTTGGGGCGGAGCTAGGAACTTCCTACCCGAGCACAACAACCCGACTTATGGGTTGTTGTTTGGCTATTTATAGTGCGTTGGAAAAAAAAGAGATGGCGCTAGTTGTATTTTGTGGGGTAATTTGTTATAGGTGTAATTTGATGTCAACAGATGGCGTAAGCTGTACCTTATGGCCATTATTGACCAGCCAGTTGATAGTGTTCTCTTCTGCCGACAGATGGCATCAGCTGTACTATTATTATTTTAATAATATTATTACATTAATAATAATGCATTATTATTAAAATCAGCAGACTTCTAGATGTTACTACTGCTCGGCTTAGACTCGGTTACGTATCTCTGGGAATTCTCATTATCTGCTGATGTAGACCTGACCAAATGTAAACTGAGTCAACAAAATTATTCGCACACCCTCCGTCACTATGTGATGGAGTGCGAAAAGATACGTGAATTTAGAGACCAATGTTCCAGCGATGTGTCAATATTTCATTCAAAATACAATACAATACAATACAATACAATTTTATTTAGGTAAGGTACATACATACAATAAATATTTACAAGGATTGTTTGACTTATAGGTATAGCTAGTACATACAATGCCTAAAGCCACTATTACGCAAAGCGTTTCGGGCATGATAAACTTAAAAGACAAGCTTAATACTAATTGAGCATAATGAGTAGAATGAAAACAAGAAATGAAAACATAGATGAAAAAGCAGCACAAATACAATTATGTCGACAAACAGCGCTCTTTAAAGAAAAAAACAGACATTGGTTGACAATAGAAGGGTAAGGTAGGTTACAGGGAATTTATTAGGTATAGTTTCGCTTTTAACTTAAACTGGTTGAGAGAGGTACATTCTTTAACATGGTTGGGAAGGTCATTCCACATTCCGGGCCCCTTGATTTGTAGAGCATTTCTGGTTTGATTAAGTCGTACTCTAGGAATATCAAAACTGTATTTATTTCTGGTGTGATGCTCATGGGTTCTGATACAACCTTCTATGAAGCTTTTGAGATCAGGATTGGCATTATAGTTTAGCGTTTTATATATGTATAATACACATGAGAGAATGTGCAGTGACTTAATGTCTAACATATTCAGAGATTTAAGTAGGGGTACCGAGTGATGTCTGGGGCCAGAATTGGATATTGTCCTAATAGCAGCTTTGTGTTGAGTAATTAGAGGACGTAAGTGATTTTGGGTAGTAGAGCCCCAAGCACAAATACCATAGTTGAGATATGGATAGATAAGGGAGTAATAGAGAGTCACCAGGGCAGGGCGTGGTACATAATATCTGATCTTAGAAAGAATGCCCACAGTTTTTGAAACTTTTTTTGATATGTTTAGAATGTGTCCCTGGAAATTAAGCTTGTGGTCAATGAGAATGCCAAGGAATTTGCCATCTAATTTGTTACAAATTTGGGTATTGTTTATTTTGAGATTTATTTGATTAGAGGATTTATTGCCAAACAGAATATAAAAGGTTTTGTCAATGTTAAGGGTGAGTTTGTTGGCAGTTAGCCACAGATGGACTTTATTTAGCTCAGTATTTACTGTGGCATTTAGAGCAAGGGGATCAGGACTGGAGTAAATGAAGGTTGTGTCGTCAGCAAATAGAATTGGTTTGAGGTGTTGGGAGGCATTTGGAAGGTCATTAATGTAGATGAGAAAGAGGAGAGGGCCAAGTATGCTGCCCTGGGGAACACCAATGTTGATGGGTAGGGTGGGAGAAATTGTATTATTCACAGAAACATATTGGAGCCTGTCAGTAAGGTAGGATTTGAGGTATTGTAGGGAGATGTGTTCTGCTACCAAAATGATCTGCTACCAGAAATTTTAGCCAAATATCCCCAGTTTGCTAACTGTAGGTAGTAAGTGATTGTAACCTATCCACCGCTGCCTACTGGATGGGGGGCGATGTGCAGGACAAACATATAAATTTTGACACTAGCTCTCCACATATGTCAGTTGCTTAATTTAGAACCTGTACTTGAGGTCGATCTCGAACCCATTGTTGATGTGACGACTTATACTGAGTTTTGTAACTAGCTCATCAAGATTGTAACTTGCTTAGCTAAATGAATTGTGCGGTTCAGTCCCTGAGCCCATTATGTGCCTCTGTAACCCTTTCCACTACCGCCCACAAGATGGGTATGGGGTGCATAATAAATGAACTAAACTAAATGCAGGCGATGAGTCACAATAACGTGGCTGAAGTATGTTGACCAGACCACACACTAGAAATTGAAGGGACGACGACGTTTCGGTCCGTCCTGGACCATTCTCAAGTCGATTCTCAATCGACTTGAGAATGGTCCAGGACGGACCGAAACGTCGTCGTCCCTTCAATTTCTAGTGTGTGGTCTGGTCAACTAAACTAAAGCTTGGATGGTAGCCTGCCACAGCTTTGAGAGCACGGAGCCTCTCTCTACATTGGCGACCCAGTCTGGCTACAACATTGCGGTACAGTGGAACTTCAAGACCAAGGTATTTGTACCTGGTTACATAGTCGAGCAGAGAGCCATCGTGCGACTACATTTTGCGAACGGCCCCCACCTCGTCTGGGTGGGCGTCGGTTCAGGATTTTTGTTTTCTCTACTGAGATGACCAAGCCTAGTTCCTGACATGTGTGTAATACAGAGTTCAGAACATTTTGGGTGTACAGAGACTTGAAGTTTCACATTCTTGTAAAGGCACTAGTACACACAGCGTTTCGGGCAGGTCCTTAATCTAACATACAATCATTAAGAAGGTAATTTCTAGACAAATTAAAAAAAAATTACAGGTACATTATAAGTACAAAAATACATTGTAAGAAATTACAAAAACACCTTGAAATAATCCTCAAATTTTACTTTAATGTACATACTAATCTTTATAAAAAAATTTTACAATGTACCTGTTAACATTTTTTCGAATTTTGCTAGAAATTACCTACTTAAAATTATCTGTTTGAAAATTAAGGATTTGCCTGAAACGCTATGCTAGTTAGTGGCTTTACAAGATTGTAAAAAAACCCAGTGCTATATACTCCCATGAACCCAATGTACCTTCTTGTTTATACAGTATATAAATAAATACAAATAAATGAAGGGTATTTAATGACCAAGGGAAAACGTGCCACGAGGCATATTACAGATTCTAAAGCGTTAAAAAGAGGCGTAAATGACAAATTTGTATTATATATATATATAGCCAAAAAAAAATAAATGAACAAAGGCGGACTTGCAATGAATATCTGAGATATGGGTGAGAGGTGAGAGTGAGATGACAAGATGAGAGTGAGAGAGAGAAACGCTTTGCGTAATAATGGCTTTAGCCATTGTATGTACTAGCTCTATCTATAAATCCATCAATTTTTGTATTTCACCTTGTATGTATGTACTTTACCTGAATAAATATTTGTATTTTGTATTTATATTTTAGAGAGAGGAGACCGGGCCGCCGCGGCTCCACCTGGATGTAAACAAACCCTCGGGGCTGTGCTGGCTCGCCCACTCTCCTCCATACACAATGTTCTCCTATTTTGTGGTCAGTTTACACGTTGGTCTCGACCATTTATGTGCTGCAGCTGTCAAACTGGACAGAATTACATAGGTGTTCTGTGTCGTCTATGTACATGTCATTTGGTATCACTATTTGAATGTGGAAGATTTGTACCTGTAGGCTGGTGCAGCCTTAGGGTGTCCCGGGCCCAACACCAGGCTGCCCACCACCACACCAGGCTGCCCACCACCACACCAGGCTGCCCACCACCACACCAGGCTGCCCACCACCACACCAGGCTGCCCACCACCACACCAGGCTGCCCACCACCACACCAGGCTGCCCACCACCACACCAGGCTACCCACCACCACACCAGGCTGCCCACTACCACACCAGGCTGCCCACCACAACACCAGGCTGCCCACCACAACACCAGGCTGCCCACCACCACACCAGGCTGCCCACCACCACACCAGGCTGCCCACCACCACACCAGGCTACCCACCACCACACCAGGCTGCCCACCACCACACCAGGCTGCCCACCACCACACCAGGCTGCCCACCACCACACCAGGCTGCCCACCACCACACCAGGCTGCCCACCACCACACCAGGCTGCCCACCACCACACCAGGCTGCCCACCACACCAGGCTGCCCACCACACAAGGCTGCCCACTACAAGGCTGTCCACCACACACAAGGCTGCCTACCACACCAGGCTGCCCACCATCACACAAGGCTGCCCACCATCACACAAGGCTGCCCACCACACCAGGCTGCCCACCACCACACAAGACTGGCCACCACACAAGGCTGCCCACCACACCAGGCTACCCACCACACCAGGCTGCCCACCACACAAGGCTGCCCACTACAAGGCTGCCCACCACACAAGGCTGCCCACCACACCAGGCTGCCCACCACACAAGACTGCCTACCACACAAGGCTGCCCACCACCACACAAGGCTGCCCACCACACCAGGCTGCAAGCAGTACCACGTGTTGCTTAAAGTAAGAAATTAATTATTAGAACGTGTGCTTCCAGGGCAAAACATTACTAACAAACTAGATGTACTTGTGTACTGTAGATTGTACTTCGAGACTGTATTTGTGGCCGGTTTTGAACCCATTATTAATACAATAATATACATTAAATTGTGTAAATTGTGTGGTTGCAGGTATGACTAAACTTTAAATGTAAAGTTTTCATAAGTTATTACTCCCTGTGCCTCTGGGGTTATCTTGAAGTTATTTTGAGATGATTTCGGGGCTTAGCGTCTCCGCGGCCCAGTCCTTGACCAGGCCTCATTTTTGTTACACATCCTCCAGGAAGCAGCCCGTAGCAGCTGTCTAACTCCCAGGTACCTATTTACTGCTAGGTAACAGGGGATCGAACCCGGAACCTTGACACTACGAATCCAAAGTGCTCTCCACTCAGCTGTCAGGCCCCCGAGGGGGCCAGGTTCTGATTTATAGTCCCTGGTAGGCCAATAAGAACTCCGCAACTGATGGCACTGATCAGTGTATGATAGCTTCAGGGAGCCTCCGGGGGTTCACCCAGAAATTGGCATTTCATTACATTCAATGATGATTTTTTTGGAGGATTGATTTTTTGATGGGTGACCTGATAGCAAAATCGGTCTGTTTTATTGATGGATCCATTATATGGAGGTGCAGACTTTGTAGGTGCCACTATATAAATATATATTGATGAACAATTTTGCTTTTTAAGAATATTCATAAAATTATTTATTGGGAGATATTCCTGGCATAGGGACCAAAACATTTTCAGTTCTTCATTGAAAGTTTAACATTTTCATCATTTAATGAAGAATCATTAATCCTTAATGAAAAATCATTAATAAAAAAATCCTTATCCTTAGCTACTTTAGCAGTGTGGGAGAAATTGATCTTACCAGTCTGAATGCTGCAAAAATCACAATAAAATGCATTTGTAAAAAACATTTAGCATGTAAATTCCAATAATTAAATGGCTTACATTAATGTATGTTGTACTGAAATTGTTTGTTTTGACAGCATTATTGGTCTTTGGATGTTATGCAGACCTTGATGCCATTATTGGGAAGGGGAACATCTCCCAACAACGGGCACCTTCACATGGATCAGCAGTGCTCGCCTCCTCCTTATTGAGGTATTTGCTTATATAATCTTGTCACTTGATTTATTTATTTATTTATTTATTTATTTATTTATTTATATATATACAAGAAGGTACGTTGGGATTGTGAGGATACATAGTAATTACAATCTTGTAAAGCCACTAGTACGCGCAGTGTTTCGGGCAGTAGGCCTACTTACAAAAGTAGTAATAATAGTACTTACAATAGTACTTACTACTATTTGGAGTGGGACTTAATAGTACTTATTAGACTTAATAGGGAGTGGGAATAATAGTACTTACAATAGTACCTACTACTATTTGGAGTAGGCCTACTTACAAAAATGCTGATAGTGCAGTAGTGCTTATAAATTTTTAACACTGAAGTAAATTGTTTTCTGGGAGGGACCTCTCATTAGTGCCCCTAGTGTAGCTCCGGCAACACCAAGCCTTAGCTAAATATGGCAGGCTTCTGAGACCAAACTTTTGCCTTGGTGAAGCCAGGACAAAGAATATGGCATGCACACTGAAGTGAGAAGAGCATGTGGATCAGAGATCACCCAAAAACCAGGAAGCATAGGTGCAACAAAATGAGCTAACTGGTTCTCCCTAACTGGGAGCCGGTCGGCCGAGCGGACAGCACGCTGGACTTGTGATCCTGTGGTCCTGGGTTCGATCCCAGGCGCCGGCGAGAAACAATGGGCAATGTTTCTTTCACCCAATGCCCCTGTTACCTAGCAGTAAAATAGGTACCTGGGTGTTAGTCAGCTGTCACGGGCTGCTTCCTAGGGGTGGAGGCCTGGTCGAGGACCGGGCCGCGGGGACACTAAAAAGCTCCGAAATCATCTCAAGATAACCTCAAGTTTAAAGATAATGGACACCATGAGATAAATGAGGTTAACGGTCCATGTGGTAAATACCCTAACAGTGCATCCTGACTGCCACCAGATGGCACCCTGGGGTTCCCTCACTCTTCCAATGGTGTCAACAAATCTCTACTGGCTCCTGGCTCTACAGGGCCTGTTGACAGCTTCCCATATTCAGCTGGGTGGTGCGGGCTTTTCCCGGTACATTAGTTCTTGCAGATACCATTGCTTTGTTATTTATTTATGCTTCATGATGTGCTTATGCCACCCACATTATGCGTGCCTTAGAATTTAATTCCCCCTGCAATAGTTGAGTGTGTTACCTTTCCCTGGAATCAGGTTTCCATTCCCTGTACCTCACTAGAAAAATCTGCTCTTGAGAGGTTGCAGGCTTCCTCCTCCATGGGTTTGAATCTTCTCGAGTCATAGGCACCCCTCAGAGAACACTATATAAACATCAGAGGTCCACGGTTGTTCAACATCCTCCCAGCAAGCATAAGAAATATTGCCGGAACAACCGTGGACATCTTCAAGAGGAAACTAGATTTATTCCTCCAAGGAGTGCCGGACCAATCGAACTGTGGTTGGTATGTGGGCCTGCGGGCCGCTCCAAGCAACAACCTAGTGGACCAAACTCTCACAAGTCAAGCCTGCCTTGGGCCGGGCTTGGGGAGTAGAAGAACTCCCAGAACCCCATCAACCAGGTATCATCTCACTTCTGGACAGTGCATAAGAGTTATTCTTCCTTGTTGATGGGAAGAAAAATTTTTATTTAAAAACTATTGAGACTATGTGCTTATGCACATTAAATAATTGCCTATCATTCTCAGCCCTGATCCTAGGCCATGTTGGGGCCTTTCACTTTAACCAAAAGCATGTACTTCAGTTGTGCATGTGATTTATTGAAACAGTTTGGGGCATATGCCATCTTTCCCTAAGTAGTTTACATAGAAGTTTGGTGTTTGCTTTGATGCTTTGGTCAGTCAGATGTTTTTGAATTCGCTTGTGTGATGTCGCTGCTAGACCCTTTTTTAGTGCTCATCCTGGTCTAGCATGTGGCAGGCCACCATGTCCTAGTTGGCTCCTATGTGGCTGATTCTGCTCTAGTTTCAGTCCCTTCATTTGTGGATAGGGAGGGGGGGGAGGTAAAATGTATCCTTGCCTCTTGCTCTGGCTGTCTTTGGTATTCTTTAGTCTCTGTTATGAGTGCTGTCTTGTGGCCACAGTGTTGCTTTTGAGTGCACTCCTCATGCTATTGGGTTTAGGGATCTGTTTGTCAACCCCTTCCTCGTGTATTTTGTTCTAAGGCTCGGCTTTTCCAGGTCCTTCACATAGTACAGTAGTTTGATTCATCCATCCAGCTGTTTGTTCCTGTTCAGGGAATGTGCGGTTGTTTGCTGCTTTGTCAGTAGCTGATATTTGGGGTCTGATGACAGCCATTCCTTCCTTGTTGAATGTCCTATAGTCCCACAGCACTCAAGCATGTTTGAGTGTTTGTGCGCACCTGTTATTTTTGCCCTGGGTCTTCCTTTGCTACTGTTCTTCTCCCACAGGTCAGTTCTTTGGAATAGCTGGTTTCCTCTATTGAGGCGCTCTTAACACTTTAGTGCGCGCGGCACTTGCTGAAAATAAAGCGGGTTGTGCGCACGGCGTTCTGGGCGCTCAAGCGTAAACACAAAAAAGTGTATAATCTTTTCACGCTCCTAACATCAATTCTCGAGCTATGTTTTTCATTTTGGTATCAATGCGTTGGCAATAAAATTCTCTACAAGATCATATGCATAAAATGTCACCAAAGCATTTGCTATCCCACCACGAAGTAAATAAACACGAAGATGACTCGCCGTGACACCCAAACAGGAAGTAAATGTTCATACTCTTTCGTTTGTTGCCAGCCTCACAGTCATCCTACAGCGCTTATTTTGATATCACTGAACTCGCAATAAAATTCCCCACCCAGACATATGCCTATCAATGTCTAATTATGTTTCGCACGAGTGTGGGAACTGGGCGAAGCGTTAGCCGTGATTTCAGCAGCGACGACACTGTTGTGATGCAGCGCTTTGAAAGTTTATACTTATTTCACTGTCCTGACAATATTTCTTGAGCTACGTATTTCATTTTTATAGCAATGTGTTCGCAATAGAAAGTTCTATAAGAACATGGGTAGAATTGGCCAACAGAGCGTCAAATAAATTTGCGGCGAATAAAATCTTACGCGAATCTTACGCGTGTTTGTACCCGTGAGCGTAAAAAGTTTTTACTTTGCTCATGTTTTTTCAAGTTTATACTTGATTCACACCGTTTTTTTTGTTTGTATAGTGTTCGGAATAAAATTCTCTACACAGACATATGCATATAAATGTAGAATCATGATCACGGCCAACACAAGAGTGTGTGAAGTGGGCGATTACCCTCGTTGTGTCACCAACTCAATAGTCTCTCCTCTAAGTTACAATACATTGCCGCTTTCTCAAATAGGCACTGTGCCTATTAGAGAAAATGAAAATTTATTGGCAAACATATTCATACAAACCCCAAGTCGATCGAGTAGTAAATACCCAATATAAAACACGGTCCGTAAATTTACGTCGTGATCCGACAAGCGGTTAAGCAAAACGCCCGTAATTCCAAGTGGAAAATCCAGAAAAGTGTTAAGCAAGCTTGGAGCTACTGAGGGGTCCCTCCCAGAAATTAAGCATTGAATGTGATGAAACGACATTTTCTGGTGGGCCTCCAAGTAGCTTCCTATCTCCAGCCCGTTCCCTTTTTTTCAGTGGGGGTTATGAGGTGAGGCAAGGCAGCTCCAGAGGAAGGGAAGAGGCTTAAGCAAGCTCGGTGCTACTGAGGGGTCCCTCCCAGAAATTAAGCATTGAATGTGATGAAACGACATTTTCTAGTGGGCCCCAAATAGCTTCCTATCTCCAGCCCGTTCCCTTTTTTTCAGTGTGGGTTATGAGGTGAGGCAAGGCAGCTCCAGAGGAAGGGAAGAGGCTGGCTGGGACAGCAGATGTTCTGGTCTGCTACCTAGTGGTAGTCAGGTGTATTGTAGTCAAGGTATTTAATCTACAGCAAAGATTGCATGTTTTGTTTACCATGGTATGGCTGCTGTCCTTCAAGAAAGCACTTGTGTTGTTGCGTACTCACCTAGTTCTGCCCGAAACGCTTTGCGTAATAGTGGCTTTAGGCATTGTATGTACTGTACTAGCTCTATCTATTAATCCAACAAACTTTGTAAAATCTCTTGTATGTATGTACCTTACCTAAATAAACATTTATTTATTTATTTATTTAGTTGTACTCACCTTGTTGTGCTTGCAGGGGTTGAGCTTTGGCTCTTTGGTCCCGCTTCTCAACTGTCAATCAACTGGTGTACAGATTCTGGCGCCTTTTGGGCTCTATTAAATCTACTGCAAATGTATATGCTTTCCAGTCTGTTTTCTCAAATTTTGTGGTTGATATTTGATTCAATGCTCACTGCTCACCTCATAGTGAGTTAGGTTCTGGTCCTGGCTCCTGGTATGTGATGAAAGGATGTTAGAGGCTTAGTGTGTTGGGCTAAGACTTAGTGATATTAAAATAGAGGTCAAGAAGCCACTAGGAACCAACCCCACTAAAGTGTATTACATTCCTTGCTTAATTTTTCGTTCTCACTTCTCTCATTACACGATACACATTCAATAACATTCTCTACTTTTACTCTTTTGACCTGAATTTCACACATTTTAACATCTTGAACTATACAGGGGTACCTCAGTTTATCAATTTAATCCGTTCCCAGAACTGGCTCGTAACCCGAAAATTTGTAAACCGAAGTGAATTTCCCCGTAAGAAATAATGGAAAATTAATTAATCTGTTCCAGACTCCCCGAAAAATTAACTTCAAAGTAAATTTTATACTTAATTCACCCAAATCTTCAGTACTAAAGTATGTACAAGTTATTACTTACCATTATTGATGACTCTTGTTGGCATATGGAAGACGGTGAGGAGAGGAGTAAGGAGGAGAGGTGTTAGTATTTGGAAAGGGAGTCCCCCTTCCATTATAACATCAGGCAGTGATTATAACTGCCTGTGGAGCCTGTCGGCCGAGCGGACAGCACGCTGGACTTGTGATCCTGTGGTCCTGGGTTTGATCCCAGGCGCCGGCGAGAAATAATGGGCAGAGTTTCTTTCACCCTATGCCCCTGTTACCTAGCAGTAAAATAGGTACCTGGGTGTTAGTCAGCTGTCACGGGCTGCTTCCTGGGGGTGGAGGCCTGGTCGAGGACCGGGCCGCGGGGACACTAAAGCCCCGAAATCATCTCAAGATAACCTCAAGAAGCCTGACACACTGAACAAACCTTTTTGACATTTTGTCTTTTTTTTTCAAATTTTTAACATTTTTGTTTATTTTTTATTTATGTTTATTATATAAAATGAAGCAGCCTACTTGTCACACACCAAACGAACGTTTTTGACATTTTTTATTTTTTCAAATTAAATAAAAGTAAAAAAATTTAATTTTTATAGAAAATGGAGGAGTCTACCTGACATACACTGAATGAATCTTTTTTTTTTTTTTTTTTTTTTCAAATGTTTTCAATTTTTATTTTTATTTTTTCTAAACATGAGGCAGTGATGACTTCTCTGGGGGTACACTGGCACGTTTTGCCTGCTTACCACGAGGACCTGCTTGTTGCTCACTGCTTGTTTTCCTCACTAAAAACCTGTCTAGTGACACTTGTTTGGCCCTATGTTGTAAACATAGGGAAAAACGTTTTCCCTATGTTTACAAAAGATAGGGAAAATATAGGGACAAACATAATCCCTAAAACATTGTCCCTAAAACATAGAGACAAACACTTGTTTGTCCCTATGTTGCAACACTTGTCTGAAGTGAGACATCACATTGTCATTATGAAGGTTAACACAACGGCCTACTACAGCTTGTTCTGGGTGAATTAATAATAGCAACTTTTCAACATCCTCAAGTGTTTGTGTTCTTTGTTTCGTGATTGTTGACATGCCTTTCGCCACTTTCACACTCATAATGTCCTTTTTCTTAGCAAGTACAGTGCATATCATTGACATAGATTTGTTGTGCTGCCTAGCTTGTTCAACAACCTGTGTACCATTTTCATGTTTAAGAATGATCTCTTGTTTTATCTCTATGGTCATTCTCACATGTGTTTTCTTGGCTTGAACCTTACCACTGGCTTTCTTGGGACCCATGGGGTGATATATAATAACAAATTTTAAGTTCAAATAGCCAAAAATCAAAAAAACTGTAAATCTTTTGCAAAGAATTCAGTCGTGATAGTCACTAGGTGGGAGGCACGGGTAAAGTGAGGCGCGATCGCCGTGCCACCATGCGCTAGGTCGGCCCATACGAGTATCAACAAACTTGTTACCCGAGGCAATGTTCGTAACCCGATTCATATTTTCCGAAGAAATTGGGCTCGTAAACCGAAAAGTTCGTAAAGAGGGGTATTCGTAAGCCGAGGTGTCACTATAATAAGAGAATTTATTCATACCCCTTACTGCTCTCTATTCATTAATAAGCATTCTCCTTCCTTCCTTCCTTTTCTCTTATTTTTAATTCCTGTACTTATAACATGTACTCCATTCTACTTTTCATTAGTGTTTTATTTTATCTTAGTCTCTCATAAACCTATCACATTGAACTTTGCTTCTTTAAAAACTTTTGACGCTACCATCTGTTCTTAATTTGATTCTGTTGTATTTCACGGCTGTACAAACCTGCCTATGCTGTCTGAGACCTGCGAAGGTGCAGACCTCAAATTTGAGGTTATTTTGACCTTTTAGGAATAAATTTGGGGAAGATAGGGCCCAACCACCCCTATAGTGCAGGGAATGTAAGGCTGACAGTGCTGCAAGGTTATAGGTGGTGTAGACACCACATCCCTGTGCTCGTATGTTAATAATGATTTAAATAACAAATGCATTTCAAGTTTTAATTTCTAATACTACTTTTGTTTCTTGGTTTTTTGCAGATTCTGTCATGGTTTTTCACCAAAAACAACAAGAAAATTTAACTGGATGTTGTAAGAATATATTTGCAAGTACCCCTATGCAAATAGCATTTCTCAGTGCGTAGAGACGATGTTTGTTTTAATGGAACAAAGAGATACTCAATTTATGGGTAAAGATGAAAAATCCGGGTCATGTAAAGATGCCTGTAACGTTGAAGGTAAAGAAATGTGCTGCAGTGTTAGTGACAATGACAGTTGTTGTGTTGAGCATAAGAAGGATATCTCACTAAGGAAAGATAAGGACTGTAATGAAGCAGATAATGATATATTAGGCTACAGAGTAGTAGAGAACCATGCTTCTGACTCGTGCCTTACAGTTCGCATTGCTGTGAAGAAGGGGAGTTCAACAATAATTCCTGAAGATCAGAAGCCATTTAATGATATTACTCACGTAGATGATAAAGAGAGTGACCGGCTGACAAAGTACGGCATAATTCCCGGATTGTGGAAACCATCTAAACGAAGAAAACGGAACTTGTACGCAGAAAAGCGGAAAAAAAGCTGGCGGTTAGAGTGCATGGTCCCAGGGTGCTGCACTAGAGCCTACACTAGTAGGTTTGTTAAATTTCCTGATGAGCTTGAGTGGAGAATTAAATGGGCCAGTAAATCAAAATTAAATGAAAAGTTTCCTGATGTGGACCCTAGAGAGGTTCTACCTAAAAGAATTGGGATCTGTATGGCACACTTTAGGGATGATGATTTTCATGTAATTTGCAGAGGGGATGGAAAAGTGTGTAGACTTAAAAAAGGGGTTGAGCCCAGTATTTTTCCTTGGGTTGAAGTGCCATCAGATGTTACTTCAGCGATGAAACTCTTTGAAAATACAAAATTTAGCAGGGAGATGAGATTGCTAAATTTGATGAAAAATGAATTGCATAATATGATGAATCCTCCCACTAGATATTGTAGCATAATTCCAGAACATACGTTTAACCTCAATGAAAATAATACCTTGAAAACTGATGTACATAGTATAGATTACAGAAACCTCCCAAATGGGAGTAAAACTGTAGAAGCGAGTAACTACGAGCAAAGTTACCTGAGTGAATGTAATGGTGTCTTATCAGAAGCATCAGATATAGGGCAAAATAATCAAAAGTTTTGGAGCTCACCGCGAAGCAAGTTCAGGGATCCAATTAATTACGATGAAAGTATTTTAAGAGAAGAGATTGAAGATTTAGAGGATAATGAAAGTACTTCCTATTATTTTTATTCAGCAAGAAAAAAGAGAGCTAGAGAAAAAATATATTCAGAGCCAAACATCATAAGTGAAAGAAGTAATAATATTCTAAAAGATTCTTCAAAGATTGATGAAAATAAAAAAATTCCTTACGAGCTCCCTAACCATAGAATAAAAACAGATATTTCCGAGTCCAGTAATGCAAGGGAAGGTTGTGAAATTGTCCATTACCCTTCAGACCAGGGGGAAACGGAGGACATGTTTGTAAATTTACAAGAGGACAAAGTTAGGTTCCCACGTAAATGTAAATTAAATAGTGGACTTTGTACTCCATTGGAAGGTCATGAAATTGTTCATTATCCATCAGACCAGGGGAACACTGAAGACATGCTTGAAGATTTACAAAACAAAGTTAGGTTACCACGTAAATGTAAATTAAATAGTGGACTATGTAAGCCAAATAGTGGACTTTGTACTATTCCATTGGAAGGTCGTGAAATTCTTCATTACCCTTCAGACCAGAAGAACACTGAAGACATACTTGAAGATTTACAAGACAACAAAGTTAGGTTACCACGTAAATGTAAGTTAAATAGTGGACTTTGTACTCCGTTGCAAGGTCATGAAATTGTTCATCATCCATCAGACCAGGGGAACACTGAAGACATGCTTGAAGATTTACAAGAGAGCAAAGTTAGGTTCCCACGTAAATGTAAATCAAATAGTGGACTATGTAAGTCAAATAGTGGACTTTTTACTACTCCATTGGAAGGTCGTGAAATTTTTCATTACCCTTCAGACCAGAAGAACGCTGAAGATTTGAAAGAGAGTTCAGTTAGATTCCCACGTAAGTCTAAGTTAAACAGTGGACTTTGTACTCCATTTATAGCTGAGAAAAATAATGGTAGAATGTCACAGAATAAAAAGTGCACAAAAAAAACAAAACATTATGACAAAAAGAAAAAAAGAAAGAAGCCAGTAAATTTGAGCTGCAATGAAGAGTATGTTTATGATGTTAAAATTGAAAACTGCGAAGTGGAAATGCCTGAAGGTGATTGCAATATTAAAGTGTCCGATGGAATTTTCTCTGAAAATCAAGAAGAAATGTGTGAGGAATTTAATCATTTTCTTGCCCCAATTTCAAATGCATTTTCTAATGAACATCCATGTGAAGATGTTCCTGGGTCTCTCAATGCACAAATGATTGCATCATGTATTGAAGTTGCCTTAAGTCCCGTGATAGCCAAATTAGAGCTGTTTCAAGGAAAGGTGGAAAGTTCGATTGAACAGTTGGAAGGAAGAGTGAATTCTCGTCTTGAAAATCTAGAAGGAAGAGTTAGCTTGTGCTTGGAGAAACTTGAAAATCTGAACAGCAGTGATCGTGCTAAAGCTTCAAATATATCTTCAGGTATTTGGTTCAATAGGTGTGAACATATAGCAGAAAATTCCACTCTTTTAACCCCCTCAAATGGTATGGCAACTCCCGGTCATTATACAGATGTCAGTCTCAAACCATTTGCCATCAGTGAAAAAGAATATGAGATGATGGAAGGATAAAAAAGTGCACCTTGCAAAAACATGTTAGCGTAAGTGATATAAAATTGATTGTTAAGTAATGTTTTAGCTCTCTAATTGAGTAAACTTAGTAAACCTCTCCAAATTGAGTTACCAACGAGATCGACAGGTTTATCAGAAAAATAGACCATAAAGTTGACTAAGAGAATAAAATGCAGTGCAGTGCTCCTAATATTGTACTCCCAAGAAATTTGTATGTATTTAGAGCTTGTATTTATGTTTTGTGTAGCTGTGCTACTGAGTTGGAAAAATAAATGCATTGGACAATGAAAGTCATGGTTTAGAACAAGAAAATGAGATGCAGCCAGGAGTGGACATACCTACCCTTTTGTATGGTTGGGAAACAAATCTGGCATTATCAGGAAATATCAAGTTAGATAAGTTGCGAAGGACAGTCAGATTTTGAGTTACATTAGAGGAGCATTAGAAAGAGAGAAACTATTGTTACAGAGTAGTTATAAACAACCTGAAGATCATGTTGTATTAGAAAGAGAGAAACTATTGTTACAGAGTAGTGATGAACAACCTGAAGATCGTGTTGTATTAGAAAGAGAGAAACTATTGTTACAGAGTAGTGATGAACAACCTGAAGATCGTGTTGTATTAGAAAGAGAGAAACTATTGTTACAGAGTAGTGATGAACAACCTGAAGATCGTGTTGTATTAGAAAGAGAGAAACTATTGTTACAGAGTAGTGATGAACAACCTGAAGATCGTGTTGTATTAGAAAGAGAGAAACTATTGTTACAGAGTAGTGATGAACAACCTGAAGATCATGTTGTATTTGGAGGGTAGATAAAGAAGAAAAGGTTGAGAACACTTGAGAATTATTTGTCTTGAATGATTCATTGTTGACAGCATGGTAGTTTTTTGAGTGAATAGCATTCTGAGAATAAATGAATAAGTGAATTTGAGGGTCGAATAAGGTTAATAAGGCAAGTCAAAGATGGGCTGATAGTGTAAGTTTTTGGATTGAATGTGAACAATGGATATTAAGTGTTGGGAAACATGGCTGAGTGGTAACACTGCTAACAGGAAGTGAAGATTTGATTTTATTTTTTAACAAGAAAGAATAGGAAGAACTTTATATTTAGTCTATGAACCATTAAAGATGAAACTGGGAATGATTTTCTAAAGTGTGGCAATGTTCACATTCACAAAGAAATCACATCAACATTTTCTGTGGCACTGTTGGTTCTCTGATGCTGGTCTGTGTGTGTGTGTATGATGATGTGAATGAATGAGGATATCATTTATTTTTTTCTTTAGCCTTTTCTCCTTATGTTGCGTGTTCCTGTCTTGAGGCAAATGTCTTCCCACCTCATGAATGTGGAAAGAGCTGTGCTGATGGAAGCAGTACTAAATGAAAAGAAGTTGGGGAAAAGCAATGTGTTTGGTATTGTATAACAATAAAATATGGTATTTTGTAGGAAAAATACATTATGGACCAATTAACATATGTCGAACATTTAAAGAATTAGTGACCATACCTGAAATAGTAAATAAGAATGCGGCGTGTGTGGTCTGTTAAAGAAAGATAAAGTCAGTTTGAGAGATTGTGGTATGAAATTTCAGCTTTTCTGGGAGGCTTTCTCAGTAGCTCCTTGGAACTCCTGCAATAGCGTAGTGAAGCCTTAAGAATTGACACCAGATTTCAGAAACCTATTCTTGCCTACTGAAAGCCAAGACTAGAAACAGCTCTCACCTTGGTTTTCTGGTCCCCAAAGTAGGTTCCTGATCTCTTTTCTGGAGGGATCATCCTGTGGCTTCTTGAAGCTTTTTTTTTTTTATTTATATACAAGAGTTCTTATATTGTACAGCCACTAGCACGCATAGCATTTTGGGCAAGTCCTTAATCCTAATTTTCCCCAGAATATGACCAGCTAAATCTTTTTTCTAGTGGGCTCTCGGGCAGCTCTCTGTGGCTGTTGTGATGTCGTCTCTCCCGTGGGACTCTTCAGTACCAGTGACCCACGAGAGGTGGGTGGCTGGACCCCGGGTAACTTGTGCAGTCATTTGAAGGTGATTAGGCACATCAGTGTTAGTATTTTTCTCCCACAGCAATAGTCATTTGCTTAGTTTGCCTCAGGATTTCATTCATTTTCTCAAGCAGTAACTTGTTTTGTTTTCCCCTTTCCTTTTCTGGGTTTAGTTTCTTGGGATTTGGTAGATTTCTGGGGCCAGATTCATGAAGCAGTTACGCAAACACTTACGAACCTATACATCTTTTCTCAATCTTTGGCGGCTTTGTTTCCAATTATTAAACAGTTAATGAGCTCTGAAGCACCAGGAGGCTGCTTATAACAATAACAACAGTTGATTGGGGAGTTTTCATGCTTGTAAACTGTTCAATAAATGTAACCAAAGCCGTCAAAGATTGAGGAAAGATGTTCACGTTCGTAAGTACCTGCGTAACTGCTTCGTGAATCTGGCTCCTGATTCCCAAGCTCATGTACCCTGACTTTGAGCCAGATTCCCAGTAGGCCAGTGTGGATCTCAGAGGTCTGGGTCAATTCTTAAGTCTTGGCTCTTACAGCATGTAAGCTCCGTCGTGCTACAGACAACCGACCAGAAAAGGGCGCTGCATACTTTCATTATCTTGAATGCCTTATTTTTGTTTACAGTGTTGTGCAATATGCTTTTAATATACCAGATAAGTTTTTATTTGGTATGTGTGTATTATTATCTTGCCATGTTCATTACCAGTCCTTAATTATCAATATTATATTTTTGTATGGTGCTCATGGGCGATGATATTAAAATGTTAGTTTGTTTATTTTGTTAGGACCAGTGATTGAAATTAATGGCAATATTGTAGCTTTATTTATTTCATATTAATGTTTAAGTATTTACCGAATGCTGTATATTTTAATTGTTATGCGGTTACATTTCCTGTGGACTTAAAAGTGATAAGGATTTTTTTGGAAGAGTTTCCTCAGTGGCTCTATAAACTTAACTTTGGTACCACCAAGTCTTTGCACAACACACCAGGCTTCCAAGACTCATCTATCATCTACCAGGAGCCAGGACCAGAATCTGGCTCACTCTAAGAGGTGAGGGTTGCACGGACAGAAGAGATAAGGCACAGAACTGAGGAAAACCCACCAGAAGTCATGGACACAACAAAACAAGCAACTTCATGAAGGAAATTAGACACCCCCATGGTAAACAAGGTAATTGATCATTTCTGCAGTGTATATACCCGTACCCCAACTGTACTGTGACCGACTGCCTCTGGATGACAGCCCAGGTTATCTGAGGTCTCGGTCAGCTAGCACTCTTATTCCTCTGCTTGGTAACACCAGCCCAACATGTGTAACCTCTGGTGGGCCCTTAGTCTACTGCTTTCATTCATCTAAGTGGTGTTGACTTTCCCTGGAAAGTGATGTTCCCCCTGAGAGAACTCGACCTGACCAGACCAGGTCCTCGACCAGGAGGCCTGGTCGAGAACAGGGCCGCGGGGACAATGAGCCCCAAAATCATTGCAAGGTAAACAAAGGTCATCGGTTTATTGTTTTTTGTGTTTCATGGTTTTGTTTATACCAGCCACAGTGTATGTGGCCTAGCATTCCATTTGACTCTGGGGTCAGGAATCCCTTCCCACCAGAGATGATTCCTCTTAAGAGTTGCAGGTTCTCTACTCTGTAATCTGACTTTTTTCGAGTTGCCACACTTCTGCACAGTGCATGAAATTTATTCTTTCCTGTTGGACCTGTTGATCGGAAGAAGACAACGCTCTTGCCTTTATTTAGTTCTTTAAGAAAACACTGTTGAGACAATTTGACTTCATTTTTGTGCAAGTAATGAATTAATTATCTGCTGTAGATTTTAGAGATCTTGCACTTTAGCCAACGTCTTGCTACTTACACTCTCCATCGCTGAGCGGTCAAGGTCAGGGATGTATGCATATATTGTACTGTGCTTATCCTGCACCCATCATGCCTGCTTGTACTCACCTAGTTGTGCTTGCAGGGGTTGAGCTTTGCCTCTTTGGTGTATGTGACAGTTTGGTTGCCTAGATTTCTTTGTCTATTGTCTCTATGGTGTGGTTTTTTTTACATGCTCCTCATACTTTTGAAGTCAGTTTGTGGCTCACATCCCTTGTTCCAAGGACTGCCTTTCTGTGATCCTACGTGTCGTGGTTCACTCTAGTCTCCCTTTTGATTGTCATTGGTCCGGGGATATGTAGATGTTTGTTGCTCTGCCAGTTTTCTTTCCCATTTTGTCCCCAGCTGATGTTTGAGCTTGGGGGCTTCTGGCAGGTCATCTGATGATGCTCCATTGTTCCTTTGTGTTGTCTTTCAGTCTCACTGCACTTGAGTGTTTGACGTGCGGCTGCCTTTTGATTCAGGCCATGCTGTACAATTGTTTCTTTCCCCATGAGTCAGCTCAGTTCTTTCTAGAAAATAAACATTTAATTTTTAAACATTTTCATCACATTTCATGTAATGAAATGCCCCCACTGGTGGGCTTCTTGAGGTTATCTTGAGATGATTTCGGGGCTTTAGTGTCCCCGTGGCCCGGTCCTCGACCAGGCCTCCACCCCCAGGAAGCAGCCCGTGACAACTGACTAACACCCAGGTACCTATTTTACTGCTAGGTAACAGGGGCATAGGGTGAAAAAACTCTGCCCATTGTTTCTCGCCGGCGCCCGGGATTGAACCCGGGACCACAGGATCACAAGTCTAGTGTGCTGTCCGCTCGGCCGACTGGGCTAAAAGTGACTCCCCATTCCTGCCATTACATTCTCTGCCATAGGGTTATTGGGTTTTGTATGGGCAGCTCCAGAGTAAGGGGTGGGTTGGCTGAGACTTCTGATGACCTGGGCTGCTGTCGTCTGATGGAAGTTAGATATTTCTCAGCCTGTGGTAATTACTTTTTGCCTTGTTTATCTTAGAATGCAAAAGTTTGTAGAGTCTATGCTTTCTGGTGGGTTTTGGCCATTTATATGGTTGATCTCTGATCCTCTGCTTCCTTCACCTCAGAGTGAATCAGATTCTGGTTGTTTCCTGGACGGGTCTCAGAGGCTTGGTGTGTTGGGCTCGGGCTTGTCGGTACCAGAGTTAAGATCGGGAAGCAACTGGGGCCCATCAGAAAAAAATCTATTTTTTTTGATGGGCACTTTATTACATTCAACATTTGATTTATATATCTATATACTATACCTATATTTGTAATATTGTATTGTTAAGTTTGATTTTTTCTTAATTCATTGCTCTTCTTGTACAGTATTTGTTGTTAAGTCTGTATTATTTCTGGAAGGGCCCCCCTCAATAGCTCGGTGATCTAAGCACTGGTCCAGCCAAGCCTTAAGGAGGTGCACATGGTATCTTGAAATCTACTCTTGCTTACTGATAACCAGGATGAGATTCTGGCTCTCTTTACAAAAAAAAAAAAGGGCCGTGGTGATCAGCAATCAAGATGATTGCTGATCGACAAGAAAAAATCCAACCCGAAAGCATGAGCATAGCATAACAAGCTACTGCTTGAAAAAAATTAGGTTGCCCTCGGGTAGCCAAGCAAAAAATTAGGTTGCCCTCGGGTAACCAAGCAAATGATTGGTTCTGTGGTGTAAACCTAACTGAAATGTACTAGACAGCCACCAGGTGGCTAGGTTACAATCACCCAGTTGCTACCTGTAGTTACCAAACTGTGGATATTTGGCTAAAGTTTCTGGTAGCAGATCTTAGCAGATTATATCACAGAACATGAAGAACATCAGTATGCAGAGATATATATTTGAGACACAAATATGAGCACAATATAATATTAGAACAATAAAATGTAGTGTTTTTGCTGCTTTAGAACTGTATTCACATGTTATATATATATATATATATATATATATATATATGCAAACAAGCCTGAATGGTCCCCAGGACTATATACAACTGAAAACTCACACCCCAGAAGTGACTCGAACCCATACTCCCACAACTGGTATGTACAGGGACGCCTTAATCCGCTTGACCATCACGACCGGACATAAGGAAGTGATAGCCGAGGCTATATGAACCACTTCCCCGCCGGCACTCGGATGGTAATCTTGGGCATAGCATTTTATCAAATCACCTCATTCTTTGGGGCACACGTGAGGAACACAAATTTGTGTTCCTCACGTGTGCCCCAAAGAATGAGGTGATTTGATAAAATGCTATGCCCAAGATTACCATCCGAGTGCCGGCGGGGAAGTGGTTCATATAGCCTCGGCTATCACTTCCTTATGTCCGGTCGTGATGGTCAAGCGGATTAAGGCGTCCCTGTACATACCAGTTGTGGGAGTATGGGTTCGAGTCACTTCTGGGGTGTGAGTTTTCAGTTATATATATATATATATATATATATATATATATATATATGTCGTACCTAGTAGCCAGAACTCACTTCTGAGCCTACTATGCAAGGCCCGATTTGCCTAATAAGCCAAGTTTTCATGAATTAATTGCTTTTCGACTACCTAACCTAACCTAACTTTTTCGGCTACCTAACCTAACCTAACCTATAAAGATAGGTTAGGTTAGGTTAGGTAGGGTTGGTTAGGTTCGGTCATATATCTACGTTAATTTTAACTCCAATAAAAAAAAATTCACCTCTTACATAATGAAATGGGTTGCTTTATCATTTCATAAGAACAAAATTAGAGAAAATATATTATTTCATGAAAACTTGGTTTATTAGGCAAATCGGGCCTTGCATTGTAGGCTGAAAAGTGAGTTCTGGCTACTAGGTACGACATATATATATATATATATATATATATATATATATATGTCGTACCTAGTAGCCAGAACG